CGTTTCTCTGTATAAATTTCGTTCAAGTTCGGATTGCAGACTTAACATTTTTGGAGAGGGAAATGTGGCATTATTCGTGGAATGTGTTGTTTTTCTGATTGCCATGAAACGGAACGACGTGAGCTTGTTAAGTAAATAGTTGAGCTTTTTCATGTGTGATGAGTCGTGGGCTGAACAATTGCCGGTTGGCCGAGAATGCAACAAAACAACGAACTGGCACAAAAATCCACACCGAGCATTGCGTCCGTCTGGGGGTACATATCTATATGTGTGTGTTTTAACAGAATTGCGGAAATGCGTGGCGAACCGCGGCTGTCTACATGATTCAATGTACAATGTACAAACAACAAAAGCGCACATTTTTCTCGAGCAAGCTTAAAAACATGATAAAATAACACAGAAAATGTGAAACGAAATCGTAATCAACTATATATATAGTCTATAATTATTTTATATACTATTTCGACTTCATATTCGGGCAGAAAGATCGCGCATAATTTGTACGTAATAAAAACCCGATTTGGTCCGCTCGATACTATTCTGCCGACTTCGATGTCCAAACCAACGTTTCAAACTAACATTTCGTCATAAACCCGTTCCAACTAAAAACACCATGTCGCTCCACGTAAATATGAAAATATCCACCTTATTATATTTAAGAAAAAGGAAAAAAAATGTCTGAGGCAGTTGAAGTCGTTCACCTTTCTTTGGTGCTAGCCTGTCAGACCGAAACATATAGAATGTCACGTTCCATTCCGTTTTAAGTTTCACGAAGACGCACCATGCTTTGTCCACATTGCTCACTTCAAGATTGCAACCCTACACATCTGAGAGAGAGAAAATCGGAAAACGTCTCCTTAGGCTAGAGCGTCACTGCCGCATACAGACAATAAATCTATTAAATTTTAATCCATTTCTCCAGTACAATCAAACCGTCGATGTACTTGTTAATAATAAATCACTCGTGTTTGTTCAAAATCTCTCTCTTCTGATATTTATCTCGTTAATGTCACATTGTTTTCCTCCCAGCAACCGATTGATGGCATTTTAAACTGAGAAGAGCGACGCAAGTGCATTTTGGTGTTTGCTCGAGTCCATCTGTGTTCATCGCATCCAAAGCGGTCACCCCGTGCTGCATGCGATGCAAATTTCTTCACATCCATAACGCCGTTTGTCAAATTCATTCAGCAACTGTAAACTTGCTTCAGAATTTGCTTGTATTATGCGATCTACTCCATAGTTACTGTCTTTATCATAATTTCCAACAGATCACAACCAGGTGAGGCCCAGGTATTTTACTGCAGATGGAACCAGCCTTTTAGAATGTTTAAAAACTTATGCGATTTTTTGCGACTGTAATCAGGGATTAAACCAAACTCAAAATAACACAACCACTCTCGACATATTGTTTTCAGTTACAGGAACATTCTGAATACCTAATCAAAAACTCACGACTTCATACTTTCTGAGATAAAATAACTTATTAATAAGTCTATTTACATTATATTAGTATGCAGTAAATAATTACTCAAATATAACTTACAAAGGCAGGACACATTTTTTAGAATTTTCAGGAATGCAAAACCATCCGAAGAATCACTGACAGATACACTTGATTTATTGAACTATGTGTACTATTGGTGTTTAACTGCCTTTAAATTAACATGCGAGCTGTGTATTTTCAATACATGGTAATAATTTGTTATAATCGGGGCAATCATAGAACGTAAATCTCATTCCAAAATTCTAATATCAAGACAAACTGTCACATTTTAACTTAACAATGGTTATAATTGTGGCCATTTTTGGCAACATTAAAAGTGAATCTTATTCTTCAATTCTAACATCAAGACAGATTGTCACATTTTAACTTAACAATGGTTATAATCGTGGCCATTTTGGGCAACATAAAAAGTGAATATCATTCTACAATTCTAAAA